CCTGCGTGGAGCGAACCACTGAGAATAAAGTGTCTTGCCCAGAAACACAACTCAAAGATTTCGGTTCAAACCTGTACCTTCAATCCGGAGACCAGCGCACTAGGTATTTGACTTACATGCCTCCTACATGTAGCGTGATAATACGGATTTAATAAAATGGAAATCGAGATAGATAGATAACACTCACTAATTTATCGACTCTCAAGTCATTATCGTCATCCTCATCACATGCGTCTCCGTCTGTGTCACCATCATTATCTTCCTGACCCGTGTTAGGCACACTTGGACAGTTATCCTGCAAGGTACATACCACAAATTATCTCATGGCAGAGCAGAGCAAGCACTTATGTCTCGCTGAACGTTCTGTTGCAATTTGTTCAATTCAATCAACTGTCCAATAAATTTCCCAATTGGGCAGCGCGTAATTTCGCCATGGTCCGATATTGAATGATACACGATAACATTTATGAGGTGTACTTTGGGAAAACCGATCAGATACACTGCGATGCTATATTTTCGTATCTAAGGCCTGTGACCGTTTCGCTCCGGTCACTATATTGTTGTCGCCCCTATAATTTTACTCACAGGAAACTTAATACGTTGATTAGACACAGGAATCATTGTATAGTGTAAAAGATGTTCCTCACCTTGTAGCAGTTTGGCAAAGTGCAACTCAACCCAAAAGAAGGAATTCCATCGAGATCAGGATCAATCTCACATTCTTCTCCATCACCACCATACCCGTCTTTACACTGGCAAGAGAAAGATTGATGCGTGAAATAACGGTAAATGTGAAACTCGGTTGAATGACGAGATGTCGAACTCTCCACGAGCTCTCCGTAGTTCAAGCTCCGTCCACACTGCGCCGGAAAAACTTGAAAACGCAGCTTTGTTTCTGCGTTTAGGCTTACGTACCGTCTACACTAATCCGTCACGAAAACGGAGCTTTTCGAAAACGCTCTTCAAACCGGACGAATCTGAAAACGTCAGCTTTGCGTTTTAGTGTGGACTTTTATTCTTTTATTAATTTTAGGGAAACGCCATAGGGTCGACCTCTAGTTTTACTTTTCTTTTTCTTGCATTTTATTTTCATCATCTTGAATAACACACGTTGTCATCTTGTCATCTTGTCATGGACAGAAAACATTTTGAGAACAGAGCTTTTCGAAAACGATGACGTCACTTTAATCATGTGATTTCCTTGACCGAATTTTCCTCAAACACAAATCCGAAATGACCGTTGATTGTTGCGTTTTCAAATTTCT